AGGTTGTAAATGTGCATGACACAAAGACACATGGGCTGTTAAATTAATCTTGTATGATCTTGTATGGGGTGTAATATCATAATTGTTTGTGCAAAGGATCTTATATGAAAATAGATTTTTTTTTTTTTTTTTTTTTTTTTTACAGATGGCCATAAATGGCGATCATTACTTTATTATTTGTTAGTAGATGCTCATTTTCTCTCGGCTATTTTGCTATTTAGCAGACTACTTATAGCAGTTGCAGACTATAAAATGTCACATTTAATGCAAATAGAAAAAACATGTAAAAAAGCCACAGACGTCCTTTTGCACTAACAGTAGCGATATGGAGCTTTGACTATCGTTCGTAATACTTTGGATTGGAATGATGGAATGTGTTGGACGGTTCAAAATTAAGCTGTCTCATACAGTTTGTGTCCGTAGATTCAGATAGGTTTCAATGCTGTCCGAATACCTTGAATGAATAGAAAAAGATTTCATTAAGGTCATTTATTAATTTCTTGGCGTTGGGATGAGATTGTTTTTAACCGACGTGGGTTATGTATTTGAATTGTCAGCTATAAGCTAAAGACTTTTTGAGCGAATAGCTAAATCTATTGTAAGCTAAACTCAAATAGTTCGGTGTGGGCGGGGTGGCCGAATGGGCTAACGCGTTTGCACAGCACCGCCGTTGCCCGGCAACCTGATATATCAATCAAATGATATAAATTTGACACGAGTTCGCGTCCCGGTGCTGAGGGAGTCTTTTAAATCCCCGCCCACACTCCCTGGCCTGGGAAAATCCCGTATAGCCTTAACGGCGAGGAAGGGGAGGACCCTCTCCCCCCCAAAAAAAGAAAAAAAAAAGTGACGTCATCTGAGTGTTTTGAAACAATATGAGCTTAAAATATTAGCCATTATAAAAAAAATATATTTAACCAATCTTCAAAAATCTATACAATGAATTTTAAGCGATTAGCAGGATCAATTTTGAAGGCTGATGGTTCAAATTATTCCCTGATTGTTTCGAAACAATTTAAGATAAAGACCAGTGAATAAATGAAATGTGTTTAATCAATCTGCTAAAAAGTATGTAATATTTATTTGGGCTCACGGCTGTATTAATTATTAAGTTTGATATCTAAAATAATTACCTATCTTCCAATTAAGATCCCGAAACAGCATTCTTTAACCTACAAAGTCACCTCTCTCTTATTGAACACTGGTGTAATGAGTTGTGTTGCCCAAACGCAAGACCAAGACAAGACCTAGGCGGTCTTATTCTTTCGTCAACGAACCTTGGTTTTGCAGTTAACTATCAGCTTATTGCTATATATTAATGTGGTACTTTAAATCTTAGAAAAACACTAAAAAATTACTACAATTAGATGCTTTATTGACATAATTATTGTAAAGTACAACTAAATCAATAAAATTAAGAATAAAGAAAGATAGTGATAAACCTCCTCCATACCTCCGATTATATGGAATGAACGCGTTGTAGAGTAAAGACAATTTATATAGAAATAAGAAAAAAAACAACATTTATTTTACTCATCGGGAACCATTTCACAGTTTAGGAAGTTCCATTATATTTTGGAAGTTCCATGGGAATTCTGTGCATTCCCTCCACTGCAAATTTTTAGATTCCAGCCATTCTTTGAAAATTGTTCGAAAACCTTCATTGAGATGTCGATATCAATAATTAACAAACAATAGTTGCCACCGTTGACTTCAGGCCCTTTGCAATTAATATTTGTCGACGTTTCTCAATACCTGTTACTCGGAGGTAAACTTAGATCATTAGTTATATGGTTAAAATATTAGTAAATTATTATAATAACTATTATTACCAGAATATCAATAAACGTTAATGTAGGACTGTGTCATAAGTTATACATCAAATAAAATACAAAAGGGAAGATAAACAATCAGTAGGATGTACAGTTAAAAAAATTAACAATTGTAAGATTGAAGAACTATAAGGAAAATAAAGAACAAGTCATGGACGAGAATTGACCGGTATGAGTCAACAAAAGCGTTTAAAAAATAAGCTAAGATGAAATAATTTCATACTGAATTTTATGTTGAAGTCCTGAATCCTGTGTCATGTACAAGTATAAGAAAAAAAATTAAAATATTATTTTTAAAATATAATATTGACTTTTGACTAAAATATGGACTGAAATTTACAATAAAAAATCTATCAGTTTTCGAGAAACGAGTTTTTCAGTAGTTGAACCGAATTACAAATTTATTATTCAAAATTAAAAAAAACATAAATTATAATATCTTTTTTGAAATAAATATATAAATTATTTAGAAGCTAAAACAAGAATTTCAATTACTAGAAAAAAAACAAACCTGAATTCTATAATAAGATATCTCACGTTATCTCCCACACTGTCATTTATTTTTGCATTTTCATATATTATTTCTGATAGTATATTCATTATAGTAGTTCATCATAGTATGTTCACTTATAGTTTTGCTACAAGACGAAGAAACAAGGAAATCTGAATAAAAATAACGGATTTATAGAATTATAGCCAAAAATATCCAGTTAGGGATGACTTTACGAAAATTGTGAAGCTCACATTCTGAGAACATTAATCACTTAGTTCCATTAAATATACCAAGGAATCCGGTTTTGAAATAGAATTTAAAGTCTTAATAATCTGTTGTCATTTAGACACATTTGATTATAATATGTCAACATGGTTCCGATTAAATTTCAAAGAAAAAGGTCTGTAATTAATGAGTGTCAGAGCTCAAATCAGAAAATCAGAAAGCTCAGTATTTGCAATTTCATTTTGAAGGAGGAAGTGGAATAATTGTAAGATTTTATCTAATCATAACAATTTGCAAAACAAAATAGTTACGCTAGTCTAAACAAAAATTACAAATTACTATTCTTTTTTTTCTATATAAAAGAAAGTTTACATTTCTTATCTGCGATTTTATTATGCAAAATATATTATTAAATTTCTCATACATATATTTTTAAATTGTAAATTTAAAACGAAAAATGTTTATAATCAAATAAACTATTTCATTTTCACGATATAAATAACATAAAATTTAAGTTTTCTAATTATTTTTTTTTAAAAATGTTTTTCTTCCCATTTTTCTAAAACGGGGAGTGATTCTTTAGCGAGAAATTTTTGATTCCCTGTGAGTGTCCACTTCTTTTAAGAAAATGTTTCATTATAGGAACTAAAATGGGCTAATATTGGTAACCATTTAGCTTAATTTTTATTTATGTTTTGTTTTCTTATCTTGCTCCGGTCCTGGAAAATGATTAATTTTAGGATCGATGTGGCCGATCGGACTAACGAGTGTGCACAGCACTGGGTATTCACAGTCAACCTGATAACCGAAGTTGGAGAAAATAAAATAATTATGAGTTCTTGTCCTGATACTCGAGGGTGTTTTAACTCTTGCATTAATCCTCCACCCTCACCCATGGCCCGCGAACTCCCCCCCCCCCCCCGCATAACCTAATAGGTGAGGTAGGGGAGAACAAAAAAAAAAAAGATTATTTTTTTATTACTACTTGGAAAGCTATACTCAAATATAAAATTCCATAAGAAAAAAAAAACAGCTGTTTAGATGAGATGAATAAAATGTTTAAGCACCATTACTATATCTGAAAATAGTCTTAGTTTGGCTTAACTGCAAGACTAACAGGGTCTGGTCTTGGTCTTGCAACAATTTTTGTGGTCTTGCTCTTGCAAAAGTGCAAGACCAAGACCAATTTTGGGCAACACTAGTAATAAGTGGCGCATCCAAGTAAATGAGTCTAAATCAAAACATACTACCTTCATCCTTCGTCGCAAGTCCAGTCCACCAGTTTATTTAAACTACATACCATTTCTTCCTTCCGGCACAGTTCGGTATCTTGGCTTCCTTCTAGAAAAAATCTAGAAAAAAAAGAACCCACATACCAGGCTTAAAAGATAACAGCTTGACCGATGATATGACCAACTATATAGACCATTGAATAGAAGATCTCAACTTTCAATTGAGAACAAATTATTAATCTACAAGACAATCCTGAAACCTATCTGGACCTACGGACTCGAACTGTGGGAAACAGCAAAACTTTCTAGTATCAAACGCATTCAATCCTTCCAGTCTAAAGTTCCTCGAACAATAGTCGATACTCCTTATTATGTACCAATAAAAGTCTATATAATGAACTTAATATCCCATTTGTCCTTTACCTTATCTCTGAAAAAATTTTACCTAATCCCAGACAAATTTTACAAATTTCACGAGAATCTCACCCATCATCCAAATCCTGTAACACAGTTTCTATCTAGCTCCAGTCATCACTACAATCCTCCTCGGAGGTTAAAACGGCAGTGGCCCCGTGTATTGGATACAAGACAAAACCATATACATTACCAGTGACGCGGCTGGGAGAGAAGCGCTGGGCTCTCCTGGGTCCTGCTTTGGCTTCCACATTTGGGGTCAAAGCTTGATTAAGAGTCTCCTGGGCCAATGTAAATATTGTACATAGGTGTGAATGTGTTTTATTTATTTTATTATCATTCGGCTCTAATCTGTTACCCTTATAAGAAAGGAATATTAATAACCAAAGTAAGAATATATATATGTAGGTATATATATTTTTTTCTTACTTTGGTTATTTATATTCTTTTTTATGTACATATTGTTTGAATGAATACTATAGCACTAGTACCAATGCCCTTCAGTGTGGCAACTGTATTAATAATTGTAAGTTTCTATTCGAAACATTTTGTTGTAGAAATTTAACGTAATTTTTCTCCAGGAACAATTGTGATTGTCCCATCCCAACATTTTCATACGATTGGTGGTAGTTCATTCTTCATGTGACTTTGTTATGATTACTCATTTTGTTATTAAACCTAAAATCCCCCACCGTCAGCCGAAAACCAAAAATTGGAATGCATGTGACGTACCACTCATTAGCTCTGAAGGAAAACCAGTCTTGAGGTAGGCTAGTGGGGGCTAGAGGCTAGAGCAGTCGCAACATGATCCTCTTCTTGATAGGAGTCTTCGGATTTGCTGTGGTGTCTTCCCAATTACTGGAGCTGGAGGAAGGTGAGCTATTTATTAATATTATATTTTATTACTTTTTTTTTATGTTTTAAATTGAAGGGTGATGTTGATAAAAGTGGTGCTACATCTTCAGAAAAAATTAACTATTACTATTTACAAAGGTATGAAGTGAAATATTTCCAACCTCAATACACTTCTGCCTAGAGTGGACAAAGGTGGTTAGATTTTAATTTTTTTAGAACTCAAAAAATGCTACTTGATTATTTCATCCTCCTTACCTTTCAATTCTTATATTAGTAACATTGAAAAAATACCACAATATATTCTATTTTTGAATGAATTGAGGTATCAACAAATGAAAAAAACTGACTTGAAACGCTACACAAGAAACAACGGAAAGGGTGAAATAATACTAATTATTATTATAACGTAACTATTCCAAATCAACTTTAAAAGTATAATTTTATTAAGCCTTTTATACTTTCACTTACCTATATATGTAATATGCAGTAAGCTTAATTATTGTGATCGTGCAAATTTTTGCAAGTTTTCAACGTAAATACACGTTTTGAGGTCCCCTGAGTCTAAATGACCAAGTCCCGAAAAATGGTCTGGGTGTAAGCGAACACTCTAGCTTGAAACCAAAAAGCCGTACGAAACTGATATTAAATATTGCAGATAGATATATGCCTTAGATGTCCTGGCAAATTTTTCCTTGAAATCGGCTAACAAGAAGTGCCACTTTATATCAACGCTGAAACACATTTTTACAATTCTCTCAAAAATGGATTTAACGATTTTGATTAAATTCGGTCTATCATTGTATAATTAAGTGATATTTAATATCATTTAGGTCTTATGCCCTTTGATGTCATCTTACAGGGATTAAATGTCCAATGTTCATATGCGTCTTCCTTCAAAGCACCTTTAATATGGTTTATTTTAAATAATCATCTATCTCTCATTATTAAAAGTTACGAAAAAATGCTAAATATAAATTTTGAAAAAATTTGGTAATTTAATAAAGGAGAAAAAAAGTAAAAAATACTTATACGGGTCGAAAATGAATATCCGGAAATACAAGTTAGAAGGTATACTTACAATATATCGTTGGAAAGCGGAGACTTTAAAAAAACAAAACAATATCTATTATAGAACGTTGTAGATGGTAACGGAGAGTGGAAACAAATTATAAATAACCTTAAATATATTTACTGTAGTCTAATAACTCTAGATTTGACATCAGATTTAAATAATTAGCTATCTATCGTCCATTTATTCCGAAAATCATTAGGTAAAATTTTAGAAAATTAAATTAGTGAATAATTTGATAAATTTTCCCTTTGCAATATTCCAACAGAATTTACTTACAATTAGTGTGACAACTTTTGACCTGTCTATGACAGACAATGCAGATCTCTTAATTCAGTTTTAATAAGCTTTGCAATAGAAAATAACAATTAAACTAATAGTCGTACAATCCATAATCAACAGATAGAACAATCCATAATCAACGAATCGTACAATCCATAATCAACCGGTGATATAATAAGTAGAACTTTTGTTATTTTAGTAGTATTTATGATTTGTTAGCTGAAATCTTTTAACTTTAGCTCATTAAAAATGCAATTCAAAAATTTTATAATTGTCCAACATGGCCAGCAAATAATTTCTATTCAAAGTTGAGCGGTAAATGAAAGATGTGTGTTGCGCGCACCAGATTTGTTAATTATGAATCGGCAGTCACTTTTACTAACGGTTACTTTTAGTATAATAACAGATATGATTCATAAATCATATGTTGTAAAAGAATAAATGTTGCATTGAAAATTAATTTAAAACAACAGATAAACACAAAATAGGTTAACTTTGGGAGTAACAAATATTTTAAATATTTAACAGTATCGACTTTCATGATGCCAAAAGTTTGTTATTGCCTGTAATATTTGTAATAATATTGACTTTATCCGAATGAGCGCTACACATCCGAGCCTGACAGCTTATTGTCATTCGCTCTCCACAACAAAAGGGCGCTCAAAGAAGTTTTCCATTAAAAAAAAGATGCTGAAAGTATTCAATTATATTCAAATTTGAACGCATTGTGCTGTTGTGGTGCAGACTATATGGCTATATTCTAGTTTTCTTATACTGATACTATAGCAGTACTTCTTGCTTCTATCGTATTAATATCTCCTTCAATTATAAGATATTACCAAATGATGTATAAAATAGGAGGTTTTTGTTCTGAGTTGAGTGCAAGGAATGATCGTAATATTTTTTATTGCAAAATGTCTGAAATATTGTAATACTTTTAAATTTAGACAATGATTCATTTGTAAGACAAGGGCTCAAACCTCTGCAAGTTAAGTTAATAATTTGTTTAAAATCATGTTATAATTGTTAAAATTAATCTATTTTCCAACTAAATTTACTTACCTATTGAAGGCGTAAACATAAATAGGCAATAATACCAATAATAAATTAGAAATTATTTATCTTCTTATTTTTCTTTTCATACTTCAGTTTATATATTTTTCTAAGGTTAAGGCAAACATACTTCCATTTTTCCTTTTTTTTATCTTTTTTTAATCTGGATTACTTGTTTATTGATAAATATTACAAAATGTCTCAATAAACGACATTTATAATAGAGTTCAGAGAGCACATTCACACCATATTTATAAATTCAAAAAATAAATAAGGTAATTTCAAAATAATATACAGCGAAATAAGAACAAAATAAAATATCATAATGAAGGAAGAAAATATAAATAATTGTAATAATAAAATAGAAATAAACATCTTAGACGCAGGCATACCTATTTAGACTATTTACATTCGGTCATGGGAACTCCGAACCAGAATTGTCCCCTCACTTGTGGAGGGAAAAGCGAGGCTTCAGGAGATCTCTGCTCTTCTCGCTCAACTTCATTGGTATTAAAAGCCAGCGGAGGCTTAGTCTTTTTTAATCTCATCTATTACATCTGACGTTTCGCGACAATTTTCCCATCCTCAGAGAGTTCCTCATGTTTACTTGACTTTGTGATGTGACACCAGTTATCAAAAATTACAATAATTGTCATATATATTTAAATATAGTACTTTTTGACGTTACACATTCATTTTCTGTTCATTATCACACCAATATATCACCCGATAAGGTAGCCAGATGTTGGTTGGTGTGATAATGTGTAACACCAAAAAGTGTTATATTTAAATATATATGACAATTATTGTAATTTTTGACAACTGGTGCCACATCATAAAGTCAAGTAAACATAAGGAATTCTCTTAGGGTGGGAAAATTATCCCGAAACGTCAGATGTGATTAAAAAAGACTAAAGAAAATGGAAGTATATTTGCCTTAACCTTAGAGAATTTTTTTATTTTTGTTAGATAAAAACGTAAGTGGGAAGACGTTTTTCCTAACAGTAAAAGGAAGTGAGGGAGACAGACTAAATTGTAAAACAGAGAAAATGAATATGAAGTTATTTGAAGAAAATAACATATTTAAATAGAATATTAAGGTACAATAAAATCTACATTTTAAATTTATAGTTTTATCTACAGTTCTAAATATATATGTTTTTATCACTGAATATTCCATCTCATTTCCTTGTTAGTTAATTTTTCATTTCATTATGTTCTTACCATTATTTTATTATTGTTAATTTCATAAGTTCCTAAATCTGTAACCAGTATTATTTATTTCATAAGGTCCTAGCCTTTTTTTACCGTTTTGTTATTTATCCTAACTTTATTCATCGTATTATTATGTGACTAATTTCTCATATGTATTTGTTAACTTGTATTTTATTATCTCTGGTAAGGCCTGAACCTTGGGCTGAAATTTCGGCAACAATAAAAGTAAATATAATTTATTTATTTTTACTTGTTTAATATCTGAAGCCTTAGATCATTAGACGCCATTGCAAAATCACACCTAAATAAGTTATTCAACTTAAATAGAATTATTCCATGGTTCATAAGGTGTTAATTTAGTCATGAACACTCAACTATAAAAATCTTGTTGAAATTACTGACATATAGAATCAAATTACCAAAATTTGCTGTGTGATACACAGAAATTAAATTCAAGCCAAACCATCATCTGAATATAATTGATTTACTCATAAGTTCAATTTCATTTCAATTATTAAATGGTAAATTAAATTATTATTAAATTAAATTCAAAAATTTAATTTTCAATTTGTTGTTTCCAAACGTAACTGGCATGACACTTATTGCCTTCACATAGATTTTATGTAATTTTTGTTAAATTTTAATTATTTTTCACTTATTTTAGTTAGTAAAATAAAAAGAATCATCAAAGTTGAGTGAACTTCAAACATATTTTTATACCCCAGCTTAAATTAATTTTGTTCTGACTGAGAGAAAATATTGGTCTCGTTAAATCCGAACAAACAGAATTTTTCCAATTGATTTTTTGTTCCGTTGATTTTACTAATGAAAACATCCCTATAAGTATACTTCGCTACTGTTAATGTAAAAGGTTGTATGTAAGAATTTTCCATTTTTATTCTATCGGTGATAAAGGAGACCTTTCTTAGTATGCAACTGATATAGTTAGCCTGTTACTATCGAAAATGGAAGAGGGAAATAATATATGAAATCACACTAATAACTCATAAATAAATAATTAATTTTTATGCTCTCCTATAAAACGTTCATTTTTTACCCACAACTCTTTGCACTAACAGTAGCAATACACATCTTTAGTATGAACTAGGATTTTTTTTTTTTTAAATTATGATTCATCAAATACGTGGTTTGCAAATGTAGAATTCTTTCTCATTCGCTGATGAACAAAATTGGTGAATATCAATTTCCGAATTTTAAATGGCTCTCCGAAATTGGTTTCTCCCGGGGATTTTATTCCCTACGAAAAATTATAGACTTTGAAACATAGATATTGTCCAGCCAATGAAAATGGTGTGGAAGCTATAAGCTTTCTTGGCAGACGTTTTTTTTATTTATTTAATTCAGGTCTTATAAAATATATGTAAAAGCTTAAAAATGAAAGTGCCTCCTGATTAGTGTTGCCCAAAATCGATCTTGGTCTTGCGCTTTGCAAGACCAAGACCAAGGCCGCCTAACTGTTGCAAGACCAATACCAGGACTAATAAAAAAAATCGATTTTTTAAATAAAAATTAAGGCAAAATATTAAACTAATACTTGACAATCTTAGTTACTATTTGTAAATCATTGGTATAACTAACATAATTTTGCATTCAACTCCACTAATTTTTCATTCGGGCTTAGTTGTGTTTCTCTTGTCCAAAACATTACAGTAATAAGCTAATAAGTAACTGCAAGATCATTGCGAGACTCTTGCGCAAGAACAATACCATGACCAAGACTGAGTTTGCAAGACGAAGACTCGTCTCGGTCTCGCATTTGGGCAACACAACTCCTGATATATCTTCGCCTAACCATAAGCGAAAACGCTACAATTTTGATTCAATAGGGAGTAATAACATACAATCAATATCTGATCATTAAGAGAACGGATGAAAGCAACTTTGAAAAACGTTTTCTTCTTCATAAATGCGAAAAATATTATAGCTACGTGTTCGGAATCGAAAATCATTAACATTTTGAACGCTCCTACTGAGAAGACACAATTTAAAACAGTAATACTGCCATCTTATATATTGCATATATTCCTGCGATCATTACATTTTCCGTAGCTGACGTCCTCTCTGTTCTCAGGAGATGAGTGCCTACCACTGGGTGGAGGCAAGGGCACTTGTACCATACTCAGCCAATGCCAAACCCTCGGAGACTTCAAGAAGAATCGACCTCCAATCTGTGGCTTCAAGGGCATGGAGCCGATCGTCTGCTGCCCCACCAAGCTGACATCTAAGGTTAACCAAGGGCACAAGGTGGAGCAATGTAAGAATACTCTATATTTGAAGGGTTTAGAGCACCTTGCATGGCACCTGGCTTTGTTGTTGCATGTGAAATATACTTTACGAATGAGCCTTTCAGTTGACAAAATGACTCATTCCAATTTAAACACTTGGATTATTAATTTTAGTGATATTTCTAGTGGAACATTTATAATTTTATTCCCAGTTCTATATTTTAATACTGCAATCACCGACTATAGAATCAAGTTACTCACTGTCTGTACTGATTTTATAAATGACGCTGCTCAAAAATGTTGAAACTGGAGTTAGTCATTCCATCAAATGAAAGGTGTGAATAATTTCTGAGAAAACCGCAACAAAATAATTTTTTTTTTTTTTTTTCTTGTCACATCCTTCAGGTTTGGTGCCATTTTCTCATTTTTTTTATATATCTATTTTAGGCCAAAGGTCACCAAATATAGACAGTTTTTTTATCTCCTGTATTCTTTATTCAACGTTTCGGCTTCAGGAGCCATTTTCAAGATCCTGCAAAACTAATATATAGTTCAATAGACAAAATTAATATATAATATACTGTTATAAAACAGCTGATCCCTAACGCCTCCACCCCACTCCTTTTGTAAGTAAATCCAGTCCTATATGAATGCCCTAGTGAGGAACAACAATTTCTTGATACCGTCTGCAAACAGAGGTATATAAATCGAGAATTAATAATATTTTTTTTAAAAATAATATTAACAATCTATTTTAATTTATTATTTATATATTACAATTTTTGGATATGGAAAACGACATTCTTTGAAATAAAAGAATGACTTAAGGACGAATCATATCGCAATGATAGATTTTAAAAATTTTATGGCGCGGTGCATGGTAGGTGGATGATATAAATTTATTCAAAATTCAAAATAAATTTTGGATTGATTGTATAACTTATGATTGTTAAATAATATGTGTCTGATAAGGATGTATTTGAATGGTAAAAACTAAATTAAAATGTTTGCAGGATCTTGAAAATGGCTCCTGAAGCCGAAACGTTGAATAACGTGTAGTAGATTTGGTGACCTTTGGCCTAAAATAGATATATAAAAAATAATAAAATGATTATTTTTATAATAATAAATTGGCTATCATAACATCCCAGATTCTTAACGAACTTCAACATTTATCTGTTTTAATTCTGTTATACCTAAATAAAATGAATTTAGCTATTAAGATTAAAAAAATACTAGTAAGAGAGCAATGTTCATTTAAGTTGTCTGAATAACCAATTATGCAATGAATCTTCAATAAATGAGTCATCATTACTCAGAAACGTAGTCTGGTAATTTTTAGATTATCGTTCATTCTAGTGCCTCTAGGGAATAAACAAATTTTGGACGCTTTCTAAAGTTGTTTGTATTATTAGCGTAGGCAGGAGATGTTACTCCTTTTATATTTGCAAAGAAACTGGTCAATACTTGTGACAATGAAACTTACTTATAATTTAGAAAAAAAAAAAAGGAATTCCATTACCGCAAATGCCCCTGGTAAAAATCAATAACTTCGTTTATATCTTCATCTATTTCTAATCAATGAAGAGATAAGTTTTGATTTTCCTCAAAAAGTGAACTATTGGGTTGGCGAATGAGTCCTTTCGGTTTTTCAGGCTGAAATAAAACTCAATATATTATAGACATACAATTTATTTTAATCAACAATATATTGGCCATTATTTTGTTACGGTCTTTAATTTAATAATAAAAAAAATTGTTTCCGCAACAAACTTGGAGGATACTCAGTGGAAACGGTAGGGTTCGAAAGAAAATTAATCTAAATCTAAACTATATAATAGGTGCCACGCTATTTAATTGGCTGGATTTGGAAAATAGCGAAAATCATAAAAATAAATAAATAAATTTAATAAAAAAAAAAGAAAAAAAAGAGATTTGGACGCGGAGTGAGCTACGAACTCGGATCATATGTTTAAAAACATATGTTAATTAACCTCAAAAACCTATCGAACATTCTTACTCGGTTAATATTGATTTTCCCTAAGCCCTCGAATAGGGTTTTACAATTCTTTACTAAACCAAAAAAAAAAAAAAGCAATATAAGATATACATAAAACATGAAAACAAACTGAAAATAAAATAAGAAAATAAAACTGGCTATTATTAATACTAATAATGAATTTACTCATTCCTATTGATTTAAATAACTGTTAAAGGAAATGAAAATTATGATTAATAAATTAGATTTAAGAAAACAAAGAAAATACAATTAACTTTAATTATAAAAAAATACTATAAAATTATTTTTTATTTTATTTTTTTACTTTCTTTATTGAATATTAATACATTCTGCCACATTGAAGGGCATTAATATTAACGCTACATGATTCATTCACATCATAAAATATACAATAAATATGTACATACAATTAATATCAATAATAAAGAAAAAGAAATATAAAAAAAATAAAATAAGTAAATTGGTATGCCTGTGTACAAAAAAAATAATGAAATAATAGATAAAAGCTAGATGAAATTAAAGTAAATAAATCACATTCACACCTATGTACAATATTTACATTCACCCAGGGAACTCTGAGTCATGCCTTATTCCCCGACGTGGAAGCCAAAGCAGGACTCCAGGAGATCCCAGTGCTTCTCTCTCAGCCGCGTCACTGTTATTTGAAACCAGTGGAAACTGATGGAGGGCACTATAGCAACAGACGCTCATGTGTTGAGTGGAGAATCTGGCCATTGCCAGTACTCCAATATATACATATTTACAAAAGGTCGCGGGGCCACTGCCGTTTTAACCTCCGGGGAGGATTGTAGGGATGGCTGGAGCTAGATAGGGATTGTGCTACAGGATGATGAATGAGTTTCTGGTGAAATTTGGAAAAATTTTCTGGGATTAGGTCAATAACAAATGGGATATGAAGGTCATTATGGAGGGTTTTGTTGGATACATAGAAGGGAGCATCGACTATTGTTCGGAGGATTTTAGACTGGAAGGATTGAATGCGTTTGATGTTGGAAAGTTTTGCTGTCCCCCACAGTTCTATTCCGTAGGCCCAAATAGGTTTCAGGATTGTCTTGTAGATTAATAGTTTGTCGACTGAAAGTTGAGATTTTCTATTCAATAGTCTATATAGTTGTCCGTATCGTCTGTTAAGTTGTTGTCTTTTAAGTCTGGTGTGTGGGTTCCATGTTAATCTTTTGTCTAGAATAAAGCCAAGATACCGGACTGTGTCGGACAGAGGAAGTGGTATGGAGTTGAAGTAGACAGGAATTGGACAGGAATTGCGTCGAAGGGTAAAAGTAATATGTTTGGATTTGGATTCATTTACTTGGATTCGCCACTTATTACAACAGTGTTCAATAAGAGAGAGGTGACTTTGACTTAAGGATGCTGGTTCAGAATCTGGATTGGAAGATAAGATGGCTGTGTCATCAGCGAATGTTGCCAGGAGTGTTTCAGGATGAGTAGGAATATCAGCGGTAAACAGAATGTAGAGGACGGGACCCAAGACGCTGCCTTGAGGAACTCCCGCCTTGATTGAATGACAGTTGGAGGATTCTGTACCATAGCGATCTTGAAAGGAGCGGTCAGAGAGGTAGGATCGGAGGATAAGATATAAGGAATGGGGTAGATGGGATTTGAGCTTGAAGAGCAGTCCGGCGTGCCATACCCGGTCAAAAGCTTGGACAATGTCCAGGAATGCCCCCGAACAATACTCTTTGCTTTCTAGGGCTGAGGATATGTGGTCAACAAGTTGGAGTCCTTGTTGGACAGTGGAATGATGGAAGCGAAATCTGAATTGGTGGGTAGGAAGGTTTTGGGATTCTATTATGGGTAGGCTATAAAATTATTATAGAACTAAACGTTAATTTAAAGTATACAATAAACTAATTACAGATAAGATAGGAAATTAAAACATATATACAAACAGGATAAACAATCCATCTTAAGGATTAATTCATCAGATAAAAAGTGTAAAAATAAACAGAAAAACCGAAAGGACTTATTTGCCAACCCAAAATTATTCACCAAGTGAATAAGTAATTTACAAGTGAATTCTCTCGTCAGCGTAGTAAAAACTGTGTTTAAAAGAGAATTATGTTAAAACGGGAATTTTTTTATAAAAAAAACGATTGGGAATAATTTTGGATCCTGCGTAGATCAAAACCTTGGTCGTACGTTTTCTTCCCCCATCTTCGAAAACCCATCCACCTCAAATTGTCCTCCACCCGTATAATCTGAGAGCAATCTCTACTCTTTTTTTTTCTACTCTTTTTTGCCATCCGGTTTACCACAGAGAATCACTTTTGGGACTCATTGATCAGATATTCTGTCTACATCTCCAATCCACCCTATTCGGACTTGATAAAAATAATATGGAACATCTATTTATGATTTTTTTAATTATACTTAATATTAAAATGGATTAGCTTTTACATAAATTAAAAAAATAAATGAACAGAAAAATAATTTCAATTCTGCCTTTAATTTTTAAAGCAACTATAATGTTGATTTTTAATCTAATATTTGGTTATGATAGGATTGCACAAAATGGTCTGTAACCTTAAAATTGCCAACTGATTTGAATCAGTAAATCGTTTATCACTTTCATCCTGCTGGAGTCCACAGTAATTGCAACCATTATTTATTTGTTACAAAATCAATACTATAAGTGATTTTTCAGAACATTGTTCCTTCTCTAAATTATCATTGCAATGAATACTGTTGAAACACTAATTTACTATTATGTTATTATTGAAACACTAAATTAACAACTCAAAACAATTAGTGAATAACTCTAATCATAGCTTGCACCAATTTCTTGGTGTTGTTTGCTTATAGTATGTGCCGTACTGGATCTTAAATGCCGAAATACTCTGGAACTCTCAAGGAATGTGATTGGTGGTAAAGAGTCAGCACCTAGAACAAATACCTTTATGGTAAGGGTTTTATTAAGTCCATTCTATGCTTCTTCTTAATGTTAATATTTTATGTTAAAATATTTTTTCTATGAGCTTTGTTTTTATGCAGGGGTGCCCAGAAAAGCGTAGCATGGCAACATTAAAATTTTGGATAGGCATATATTTTCCGAGTTATAAATTGTTGAGGTGTGGAAAATTTGACGGTGCCATGGATTATTGAAGTTGGCAGATTTTTACGGTGTCATGAATTTTTTTTCAAGGAAACCATGTTTTGTGGGATTTTAGTTGGAAACTAAGTTAGTTGGAATAAAATTATAAATACAGATAATTAAAATTTTAAATTGATACGAAAATTATATTTATGATTGTAGTTGACAAGAAAATGCAATTGTTGACAAGAGAATGCAATTCTTATAATTCTGATTTCACTTGCACTGTTTTTTTAAGAACAGAAAAATTTATTTGGAGGGTACATGCGTCATCAACCTTGAGGAGGCAAGGCACCCCTGTTTGTGTGAACTATTTATATGATAATCATTTTAAAGCATTAAAAAGTACTGCTCTAAATTTACAATTTTAAAAGTTAAATACATTTATAAAAAAAAAAATTCAGAAACATTGTAAGGGATTTTCATCAGAAAACAGTGTGTATGATAAAAAGAAGTAATATATAAAATTTATATAAAATAAATTTATTGCATTAGTTCTTGATTGAAATTCGGATTTAATTTTGGGAAACTTAAAAGGGCAATGCTCAGAAAGCATTTTGTTTTCTGTTTAATCAGTATTATACAGGATGTTTCAGAGTTAAGTAGCCAAACTGAATATATGAATTAAGGACCTCAAAACAAGAAACAGAAACATAAATAAATTAATTTATAACAAAAAAATACATAGAAATAAGGACAAAATGAAATATTATAAAGAGGGAAAAAAAAAATAAAAAAAAATATATTTGGGGCTGGGCTAGCCGTACGGGCTAAGGCGCTTGAAATAGGAATTCAAAGTTAAGCAACGTCGAGCGTGGTTAGTATTTGGATGGGTGAATGTCCACCAGAGGACGCCCGAGTCTCCACCTACTGGAGGAAACTCCCACTGACCGGACGTAGAACTGATGATCTAATCCCGTGTACTTGAATCGGGAATCGGGAGGTGGTTTACTAGGATGTTATTAGCCACCTCCCCCTGAGGTTCGGTCCATGGACGGTCGGTTTCGGGGAAAGAAATATAAGTCCTCGTGCGCCTGCTGGTTCCGAGCAGCCATAATCCCTGGATCTAGACCAATTTGTCACTGTCCTTCAATCCGAGTGAGTCGGTGGGAAGGATAGGTCCCAAAGGGATCGCCTATGGAGCTACGGGTGACCTGCCGCTGCACCATGGTACAATGTTCGTAGCAACGTGATGTTGGGTGACCCCCTCCAGGCTATCTGCGCTCCCGCAAGCTGCATACGTTTGTAAGGAGACCACATCTCGCAGCCAAAGATCTTCATGGTCTGTAGTGCCAAAAAAAATAAATAAAGATATATATATATATATATATATATATATATATTATATATATATATATATATATATATATATATATATATATATATATATATATATATATATATATATATATATATATATATATATCTTTTCTTTCTCATTATAACATTTCATTTTGTCCTTATTTCTATGTATTTTTTGTTATTAATTTATTTATTTATATTTATGTATATACGGTGAAATATTTTTCTCTAACACAAAGGTCCCTTCATCGTTACTATGAAGAGTATTTTCGATGGTTAACATTGTTTTTTTTTTCAGCCTACCCAAATGTATTATTTAATTTTCATTCCCCATCCCCCCTGAAGCTATATACTGCACTAATTTCTGAATTGATGAAAGTGAATATTCATTGATCTTTTGAAATGGCCTATTAGGATATTATTCTTTCCAAGAGTCCTGCAGGTGGATGGGTACTTTTTTATCATTACAGGCCGCAGTAAGGTGAGGTAGTGCTAATAAAAGCCGCGATAATTCTTTTATCGTTTTTCTCGGCAGAGCTAGTAATAAATTAGGAAACGGTGACCAAATTAAACAATAACTTAGACAAATTGGTTAGCACTTGCTTTTTTAAACCATAGCAGAAGATCAGTGTTGTCAACCAATACCTGTTCCCGGGACTTACGTACCCTCTCCTGACGGCGCACCTCAAAAATATACGTCCTGCGATATTGGACGTACAAATATCCGCAACAAATATGGACGTACAAATCGATACAGATATCCGCAGGAGTATTAAGGCCATTATCGGGCTCCATGCTAAGACGTCAACGGCTATGTTCTATGCACCGAGGAGGTTTCACGGATTGTGACTGATCCGCTGTCAGTGGGAGGCTCCTTTACAGCATTGGCCCATTGCCCAGCGGCTGTCTAATGTACCGGGGCCCTGTTCCAGTCAACATTTGGCGATAATACAGAAATCGAAGAACGTTAAGAAATACTGGGAGTGGATCAGGGGCGCCAAAGTGTGGGAGCTGTACGACAGTCACTAATAGAAAACTCTTTTGAGGAATGAGCCAGCTGCAAGTGGCAAGGCCTTGTAGTTTGACATTTTAAATAAACTCCGAAAGCTAATAAATACATATGCTATGAATAAGTGCTTGTGGGGTCAGAATGGCTCAACGTCTTAAAACTAAACATCAATTATGCACCTTTTCGTAGAGTCCCAGTAGCGATTGAAAGTAAAATGTTGGGTCCCTCTGCCGGAAAATCGGCAGAGAGTCAGAAACACCAGCCTATGTGCTGGAAAATTAACCTACAACTCCCTCCTCTTAATACGCCGGCACCATAAGGTCAAGTTCGTTGTGATTAGGCTTCTTAGAGAAAAGGAGTTCATCTGCTTTGACGAGGTCTATTGGATCGACATTGATGGTTCTACAAGGTATACTGATATTGTCGCGTTTCCCAAGACAGAAGGGACAGCGCTGATCATGGATCCAACTGGCCGCTATGAGAACAATGACTTCCATCAGGCGGGTGAAGTCGAAAGAAAAAAGAAGAACATATACGAAAAATGTATCCCTTTCCTAATAGAGAAATTCTGAGAGACCTTCGGGGAGAGAGGGAGTTCACCATTAGGGCAGCATGGTCTCAGAGCAGGGAGTTCAGCATGGTCTCCGGTTTGGGTATCGCGGAAAGATCCCAAAAAGAACAAGGAGCTTCCTCGAGGAACTAGGTGTTGATGTTGGGAAGCTTGCGATATTGGCCGAGAATATTACTTTGGATTCCCTAGGGATCATCCACTATCACTTATATAGTAATTGAGGATGTCTTTTATTAAATGTTCATTCAATTTTAAATGTTTTAGCATCGTCTTATATTTGTATCTAAATTCGTGGAATTACTTTGGTATTTATGTGTGCGATATAATGTTGAGTTCCAAGCATTTGACATTTTTTTTTTATGAAATGTTATCATAAAAAAGACATATATATATATATATATATATATATATATATATATATATATATATATATATATATATATATATATATATATAAAACCCTTTGACCACCATATATATGTTATACTGGGTGACCATGAAGTACCAAACAGATTTTTCTCCATTTGAAATATGTATATGGCTGTCCCGCTGGTTTTCTTGTTCCCTAGGACCTCTAGTGCCAGCTGACACCACTAGATGCCAGTACATACTCACTACCGTCATACCGATATGGCAATCATATTGGGTCGGCGAAAACTAATATTTGAACTCTTATGTATAGTTCAATTTCAATTTAATGTGTTATTTCAATTTAAAAATAATTATTGTCACAAACTATTAACTAGGATGGTTCGGGAGATAGAATTGAGGATGAACAAGTTGAATGAAGCTTATGAATCACTTATAACATGCGAAAATATATAATAAATTTGAAGAAATATATATTTTTTTAACTTATTTTAAAATATACCACTCTCCCCAATCAGAAAATTTTTCCTTTCGTTTTTGAATTTAAAAAAGGTACCTAAACAGGAAAAAATCACGACCATGAAATTTTCAAAAATTTAATAATTGATAGTCAAAGGGATACATTCTCTCTCTCTCTCTCTCTCTCTCTCTCTCTCTCTCTCTCTCTCTCTCTCTCTCTCTCTCTCTCTCTCTCTCTCTCTCTCTCTCTCTCTCTCTCTCTCTCTCTCTCTCTCTCTCTCTCTCTCTCTCTCTCTCTCTCTCTCTCTCTCTCTCTCTCTCTCTCTCTCTCTCTCTCTCTCTCTCTCTCTCTCTCTCTCTCTCTCTCTCTCTCTCTCTCTCTCTCTCTCTCTCTCTCTCTCTCTCTCTCTCTCTCTCTCTCTCTCTCTCTCTCTCTCTCTCTCTCTCTATCTATCTATCTATCTATCTATCTATCTATCTCTTTCTTTTTTTTTTTTTTTTTTTCCTTCTTTCCCCCCGCTGTACCTTAGGGCAACCCTATACCAGCGGTACATCCAATTTTCTAACTGAAAAATATGCCACGAATTTAAAGGGCTCGGTCACCAGGATTGGTAACCAAGCGGGCAGGTCTGCTCTCACTTTGATCCAAATTCTTGGGTCAAAGTGAGGCAAAATTCGGTCTTTTAGTTTGATTGGGGCATTAATTATTACGGGTAAACCTACACTAATGGGCTGCCTGCAACTGGAGGGCTGTTCCCACCAAACAGGACTCCAGTAACTTCCTACCTACTTATTGTGGGCCTATTACTAAGTTTATATATACTATTTCTAAATCTTATGATAACAATAAATGTATGTATTTGGTATATCACCGGTTTAATCTTTCCTCTCTTGCTATTTTTTCATGGAATATCCTCCTGGCGTATTTCTTAAAGGCATCAAATATCTCAGGTGTCTCCACAAGCTTGTCCAGAGACCGAGGAGGCCATTCCAACATGGAGTACTCTCCTGCCAATGCTTGTCGGGCGCCAGTGTACATTGGACATTCCAAAATTATGTGTCTAGCGTCCTCAACAGCCCCGCAGTGACAATTTGGACTGGCTCTTCTATGAAAAAAATGTAATTTTTCATTTATGTCTCCATGGCCTGTGAGGAGTTGAACTGTCCAGAAATCCGTCTCCACCCAGTCATTCTTGATTCTTCTCCTGACATCTGGGAAGAACTCATGGGTCAGTCTTCCAGTCTCGCATGCATCCCACCTTCTCTGCCATTCAGAAAGGACTAGTTCTTCTATTCTGTTGGCTACCTCGTCGTACATTCCACTAGGGCACACAAAACAGCTTGTTCCCACATTTGCTGGCACTCCTCTCTTTATTCTATATTTGGCTATAGATATTTGTATTTTCAGGTCTATAGGCAATTGTCCTGTAATTACTTGCAAAGCCGAAGTGGGTGCCGTTCTGTACGCTCCTGTCACCAGTAGGAGAGATCTTCTTTGAGCTTGCTCCAGCACACTGATGTCTGACTGTCTCAGTTTCTGACCCCAGACCGGCGCCGCATATAATGCAATAGGCAAGAAAGAAGCCTTATATAGGGTTTCCCGGTAACCATATTTGAGACCCCAGGTGGTCCCTGCCATCGTTTTAAGGCAACTGTAACGAACAATAGTTTTGCTCTTAATTTCTTTTAGGTGGTTAGTGAAGTTACACCTCTCGCCCAATAGGACTCCTAAGAACTTCACTTCCTGAGATGGTTTTATCAGGACATCTCCTAACTTTACTCTGGGGAGAAACCCTACCATTTTTTCCTTCAAAAACAGGAGTCGAGTCTTCTGAAAATTTAAAGAGTTTATTTTCCTGGCACCATTTCAAGATTATATCAGTGACTTCCGCTGCCCTTATTTCCAAATCTTGTCGTGATTTTGCCTCTATTCCAACAGCAAAGTCGTCCACGTAAGCAGATGGCGTATACCCGGCAATTCTCAATTTAACAAGGAGAGGGTTCATGTTGATATTCCATAGGGGGAGTCCCAAAACTGATCCCTGAGCACAACCCCTCTGGACTGGCCTCGTTATTCTCCTTCCCGGAAGTTGATAGTAGACAGAGCGCCTCGATAAAAATGATAATATGAGCCTGTATATATTTCTGGGGCATTTTAGTTTCTTTAGCTCGTCCATAATAGCAGGCCACCACATATTATCGAACGCGCCAGCAACATCAAAGAAGAGGACTACAAAATATTTATAGGGCGAGTCCTTAGCTGTTGATATGAGCTGGTTGATGGCATCCGTTGTTGACTGTCCTTTTCGACCTCCGAATTGATCAGGAGAGAGCAAATCGGTTACGTCTTTTAGGCGTTGCAGCATTAGGCTTTCCAGAGCTTTCCCCATTACATTTAGGAGGCATATTGGGCGGTAAGATTTAGCAGTGACTTCTGTTATACCGGACTTCAAGATAGTAACCAGCTCAGCCTGTTTCCAGATACAGGGGAAAATGCCTTCATTCAAGCATCGGTTGTAGAACGTAGTTAAAGGCTTAATCAGTGCGTTTTTTGTATTTCTAAGGATATCAGCTCCTATCATATCCGGTCCTGGTGCCTTTCCCGATCGGAGTTGTCCTATAGCCAACCTCACGTCTTCCTCTTCCCATGAAAGCGCATCTCTCTCTTTCTCTCTCTCTCTCCCTCTCTCTCTCTCTCTCTCTCTCTCTCTCTCTCTCTCTCTCTCTCTCTCTCTCTCTCTCTCTCTCTCTCTCTCAAAAACCATTGGTGGCCTCCGAGGCTGTAACTACTTCACATAGGCCACATGCAGCTTCCGAGGCCTCGGTGCTCCATCTATGGTCTATTATATTTTCTCCTTCTCTTCCTATACTTATATAAATCCCTAAAAAAAATTAATTAGACCTTGTTGTAGTAATTAAATCTCCCTGCTCTCTTATTACCTTAGAAATATAAAGAAAAAATAAAATCAACTATGTAATGATAATATCATCCATATAATATAATATCATTCACTGATCAACACTTTTTATTTTTTATTGTTTATCCAATTGAGGGTTTGGAATAGCTTTACTAATAACCCTGGTGTTAAACTTATTACCTTTAACCCTCTCCCTCAACTGCATTCTTATAAACTCAACAAATTATAAAATTAATCGTTCTTTATACGGTTCCAACTGGTGGGACGTAGATGATAAACTGGTTTATTAAAACTTTTTAATGCTTTAAACAAATTTTCATATTATAACCAACTTATGCTCATTTAAGCATTATACTAAGTATAAAAACATTTTTAGATTGTCTCTGGCTGAAGAAACAATTTTGAAAGGGAAGAATCGTGAATCTTCAAATGAAATCTACTAGGGATCGGACTTTGATTCATGAAACGCCATCTAAGATAAGGAAAAGAGCTTTAGTTGTTGGTGGAACGCGGAGTTTTTCCCAGGAGCACTATTGCATGGTAAATTTACATGTAAATCATTTAAAGTGAATAACTTTCACTTAAATTCTTTACTCAGCTGTCATCAGATGCTATCATTTTCCTACCTTATCATGCCCATAACATGCGTTTACTATCAATCAATAATAATCTATTTATTGCTTGCTATACTGTGCACTAACATAACACAGATACTGAAGAGCGAATTTAAAAGGAATTAAATTAATTCGGAAAAACATCCATTTTTGGCATGGGTCTAAAACCAAGGACTTTCTTTCCTTTTATATCCCTTATATCTTTTTCCTATGCTAAACAAGCCCTTCACTAAAGAGTTTTTTTATTAATACTAGGAGATATTCCTTGTTCGTCTAACGGCGTACCATCTCCCATTTTACAAAATATACTAATGAAAAAAATAAATGAAAAATATGAATTGTTAACGAAGAGAATGTTTGAAAATTTACATCCTGAACAGTTAGAAAAATCCTCTTTGGGTGATGAGATTAGAGCGTTGTGTTCGGAAACCGGTGCTCTATGGACATTCCACCTTATATGTAAAATAAAATATTACACGTTCCCTAAAAACATTTTTAAGTAATAGAGAGATAATACAATAATATGTGTTTTCCAACGAGTTCCATACTTAACTTACCAGGTTAACACTTTAAATTTGTTGCAAAGGGTTTATTTAATCAATTTATTAACTAATAATAAACCATAATTTTATTTGGATGTTCAGAATCAACCTTCGCTTATATGCCATTATATGAAACATTCTTTTTTAATTGCTGTTTTTTAACGTCGCGTCGACTGCCAAGGTCATTAGCGACGATCGTTCTTCTCAAATATAACTTATCAATTTTATTTTTCGTTGTACTTCAGCGTTTTTTTAATACCAGTGTTTTCCTTATACGGTGCCTTGTCTTCAATTTGGAGTTCGATTTGCTGTTTCCGGAACTTTCTGCACTAGAATATGTGTTCAACTGCCAGATTAGCATTTTCACATACCTCGCATGCTATTCGAACATTTTGTCGAATACTTATCATTCCTCATTTCTTTTACAGGCTAAGCGTGGAATACTTATATACCACTCCTAAACTATCAATTCCGATAGAACGGTATGGCCAAGCACGTTGGTGCGTGGGACCGAGAAAGTCCTATTTTGAACGTTGTCGGCTTGATTCCCACCAGGATCGGTTAGTTAACATTTCTAGGCAGATCTGGGAAATAGATCTCGACATTCCCAGTGTGCTAAGTACACGGCGGCAACTCGAGGTAACCCCTGTTGGCAATGGTTGGCAAAATGGATTAAATGGCCCAATTTTCCGTACTAATTCTCGCTCTTCCCTCACCCACATACAATTACCTAAAAGTTATTCTACTTTCAATAGAGTCAGCAGTTGAGTTATCAAGGGCTTAATAAAGCACTTCAAACAGCATCAGGAATGTAAATATGCGGGATAGAAGTAGAGATAAAACAAGGTATTATCTGAAAAAAAAAAACTTTGGTTTCCCAAATGGAAGAACTTATATAGTTCAACAGGGTTGTCGAAATATATAAACTTAAAGTTAATATCAATTAATTAGTTTAATAAAAATTTAAAAATTATTTTTCAGCTACTGTTAGAAAGATGCTAATTTGTTTACATGTTTCAACTATGCAGGTCTTGATCGGTTACCGTGAGAAAGAGGAGAAAGAGTGGGGATGCGCTGGGTCTCTTGTGACGGCAAAATACGTCTTAAGTGCAGCGCATTGTTCGAATCCCACTGTTTTGTAAGTAGATAACGTTATATTTTAATTTAAAGTTTCATTTCCTAAGTATTTAATTTTTGAAATCATACAATTTTTCATTTGGAAATTCTATTAACATCCAATGTCAAGGTAAAAAAATAATGTCTCCCAATAATTTATATTAATTATTTTGGCTAAAAACATTGGCACTGTTGGGTGCTCAAACGTCGCCAAATTTTCCTAAACATCTTGAGGTAAACTCAAATTGTTTTGTGATAAACCTTAACTTAACTGTTTAAGTTTAAATAAATTTTTAGCTTATCTTGCAATAGAAGATTGTTAATTTTTTTAAATACTACTATGGAAATAAAAGTTTCTTGTTAAATGTTTGTTACTTTTCTATTGATAATAGGTAAAGAAAGTATAATTGTAAGTCGATTAAATAGCTTATTATACAAAAAGTTTGTCTAAAAGTAGAAACTTTTGATCCAGTAGGAGAAAAGATATCGCAAATAATATAAGATTATAGGATAACAGAACTATAGAAAATATTAACCGAATTCAGTTTCAGAGAAAGAATAATTTCGAAACAACAGCATTATTAGCCTATATACACCTATCATTTATCAGAAGGAGAGAATAAAGCGCAATTATATAATGCTCTAGAAATTAAGGGCTCCAAAGTAGGAGTATCCGAATTAAGACCGGTGAAAGTTTCTGTTTTTACATGGTAACATTTTAGAAACTATATATAAAAAAAAAATGAAATTTAGTAAATCACTCAAATATGAGATTTCTACAACATTTATTGCATGAATTGTTTCCCTTAAAAAGATCACATCACAAGTGAAATGTCATTAATAGAACAAGATTTTGTTTTCATCGCAAGTTCACCCGTGGGGTATACAAAGAGGACAATACGGCCCGCGGAAATTAGCGGAGATTTCAGTATAGCCCACGGGCCAAATATTTTGGCGAAAATTTCTACATTCCAACCAAATATTGGTAAGCATAGCAGAACGAATGGTTGGGGGTAAGATTGTGGTTTTACTATCAATCAAACAGACCACATTCTGATGAGTACTGGATTCATCTCCAGTTTCATGAATGTTAGGGTCAAAAGAGGGGCTAATATAGACTCAGACCATCACAACTTCATATCACGAATAAAGACAAGTATTTCTATTTCCCCTATACATCGGAATAATTCACCAGTAGAGTATGAAGTAAAAACTAACAGGTTCTAAATCCAGAGAGCAGCTTTCTGATTACATGGATGGAAAAATGCGACACACTGGTCCGACAGGAACATTAACCAGGCTTGGATGACATGCAAAGAAACAATGGCTGGAGTACCAAATGAAATACTTTGACAATGACAGGAGAAGAAATTATCTTGTTATGGTCAAGAATGTCAAGCTGCAACAGATCAAAAATCATATCAACTCATGGTTCAGAGACGTAGCCGTAACTCATTGGAGCAGTATGGGATATATATACGAGTCTACGCCCTGGTAGTGGAGTCAGGAGACCAAAAAACGGTATAACAACAGTAAAAAACAGAGTGAAATTTGCATCTGCAGGAAATATATTAATATCAATAACAACAAATATAGTGTTCACTGAACGATTAAAAAAATATTGAAATGTACATAATATATCTTTAATGTTTTTAACAATTTTAAAAAGATTTAAGACTATGTAATTTCATTTCAGAGGTCCTGCCAGATGGGCCAGGTTGGGAGAATTGGACATCAGTTCCTCTTCGGATGATGCTAAACCAGTCGACAAAGCCATCATTGAGAGGATTCCTCACCCGAAATACATAACGAGCCAGAACTATCATGATATCGTTCTCTTCAAATTGGATAGTGATGTCGTTTTCAACAGTTATATATTGCCAATATGTCTCCATACTAAGCGGCAGATAATCACAAAGTTTGCTACCGTCATTGGCTGGGGGAGGACTGGATTTAGTAAGTATTCTTGGTTAACTTAATGAAATGTTATTTGTGAGAAAGAAATGGTCTACCTTCCCTAATAACAAGGAGGCACAGGGGAAGGTAATTATACATTATTTTCAACGATATTTCTGAATATTAACTAATTTAAGTATCACCAAAAAAAAAAACAATCCCGGCTCATGCCAAAAAAATTATTTATTCTGTTCCATTGGCCGTCGGACGATCCTGGGATGGTAAGACCCTCCTGGGGCCCACCCAGCCTCTATGAAGTTGGTATCCTTAATTAAATTATTGATTAAGGGGAAAAACCTAGCGGTTGAGCGTGATCCTGGTCCGATCCTCTCCCTGCACAACCGTAGGCCTTGAAATAGTATTTTCCCTAAATAGTACTGAACCCAAGACCCTTCATGGGTTGTAGTGGTACAGGTTTTTTTATTTTTATATTATACTATCCAATCTACTATCATTTAACATTTTTGAATGTTGAATTAGCTTTTTTCTTCTACTTAATTTGTGGCTCAACTCTTGTAGAGCTAGGGCCTTAGTGCAACTTCAAACTCCAGTGATCTCTGATTAATGCAGTCGCCTTCCTCTCCATCAGCCTATTAAACCGAAGAACGGCTGCTTCACGAGTTCATGATATCGCCTTGCTCCCATCTTATATGCTCTTCTAATAATTTTCTCAATATATGTTTTCCAGGTTAACGGCGAACGTATCCCGCCCATCTTTATATGCCAATCGTTATGATTCTCGCAATATCAGCATGTCGACATAGCAACTGTAACATGTTGTTAGCTATTTCTGGGTGTTATTCATTATTGGGCCAAGTATTCTTGTAAAAACACGACAATGAAATCAAAGATCGGCTGCTCCTTTGTTTCATGATATCTTCTATCACTCCAAACTATATTTTAGCACTCTTCGGGTTAACGTTGTATATAAACGCAACTTGGTTGTGTGTGAGATCACTATGCTACTAAGGTGTTTGTTATTATTATTTATATTCAACTGTGGGCCAAGGAATACATTTAAAACAGAGGCATGTTTTAAATTAAAGTCTGCAATTTCTTTGCATACTTCGCTGGACCCTAACCCCTTGGATATACCTGCTTACAGTTAGTTTTATTCAAATTTATATTGAGTCTTGCTCCAGCACATGGCTGTGTGCTTTATTGTTATTATCAACAGTGTCGTATTGTTTTTAAGCTGCTTTGTAGTCTCCTGCACATGCTGGTATTTACTGCCTAGCAGCTATAACGAGGGGTGCACCCTACAAAAGTTAATTGAAATAGTCAGTTGTTGAAATGATCCACACCCCATTTCAACAACTAACTGAAAGAAATACAATGTTGGTTGATACAGATGTATTAAAATATAATACATAAAAATATTTAATAATTCCAAAAAACCTTCGTTGCTCAATGTCCACAAGAAACCTGACCTAAACTTAACAAACGAGAGGGGACCGTTAATCATGCAAATATTTCACCAAACAAAACCTGGCCACAATCAAGACCTCATACCGCCTTCAAACTTGCAACTTTATAGGATCCATCCTACAAGGGGCGGGGTGGCCGAATAGGCTAAAGCGTGTGCACAACACTGCTAGTTGCCTGGCAACCGGATAACAGAGATTTGAGATGATATAAAAAGTACGAGTTCGCGTCCTGGTGCCGGAGGGGATTTTAAATTCCCCGCCCTCACCCCATGGCCCGGGAAAATCCCGTATAGCCTAAAAGGCGAGGTAGGGAAGAACAAAAAAAAAAAAAAAAAAAAAAAAAAAAAGGATCCATCCTACAATCCTAATCATCAAATATATAAAAATATGTTCAAGTAGTCACTTACCTATGTGTAAAATCTGTAAGATGATCTAAAATTAACCCTTTCTAGGTGTACCTGAGAAATGAAATGATCCTGACATAGCACGGTTTCATTCATGTTGAAGGACCGTTCTGGGGCACCTAGTTTCCATCTAAAATGTATTTTTAATTTATTTAGGAGTTTCTTCAATATGAAGTTTTCCTCAACCAAACTTCTTCTTTAGCATGTCTCTCTATCTCTGCCGGTCCATCGCATCCTTCTCCGACAGTTCTCTTTCACACTCTACACTACTCCATCCTTCCATTTAACTCGGGGTCTTTCCTTCCTTCTTCAACCTTCTGCTTCCCAATCCATAATTATCTTTAATCGTCGCTCGTTCGTCTCACATGACCATCCCACCTGATAATATACTAATGATTTGTTATCGCCGTTGTGATGTATGAGCTCATTGCCAGAAATTGGGGCCTAACCTGCCACCAGAAAAAAACGTTCCCAATCGAGCGAAGTGAGAGAAATGCATTAAGAAAGGTCTTGCTGGATAAGGTTTTAGCGGTGGTTGGTGGATGGAGTTTCATGGTGTACTTGCATCGAACCTTCTAGTTGTCATAGCTTTTCATTAATATGCAAGACTTTTTTTAATAATCTTGAAACATTTTTTTGGCCCAAACATATAAAAAAGTAAATACGTTTTATAATTATCCCTTTATTATGTTTACAGTTGAAGGCACCAGTGACAAGCTCCTTGAAGCAGAAATAGAAATCTACAATGACACGGAATGTAAAAGGCTTATGTTCAGCTCGATCACGCCCCAAACGCCGCAGGGTCATCAAGCTGAACAGATGATTTGTGCTGGAGTGCCAGATGGAAGCAAGGATGCCTGTCAAGTCAGTATCTCTCATGTTTTGATTTAAACTATATTGTTTAAACCTATTTTTTAAAAATCTTTTATATTAACATTAAACACATACACACACACAAACACATATATAATATAATAGAATAGAATAGAAAATAGAACTTTATTCTGGGACTAAGTCCCCTTAGAATAACAAGATGAATTAATACAAAATAAAATACCAATATATATATAGTTTATACATATATATTGGAGAAAGAAACATAAATAAAAAACGGACGCCTTGTCAAAAGGCCTTAGTCTTGAGAAAATATGTTAACGTATAACAACACATACTGACATAAATGAAAATCATAGATTATATATGTATCATTTATGTAATTGGAAGCATTGGTTTATTCTTTTGTCTCAACTAAAAAAAATCTTTTAGATTATTCATAAATACAATATTTTTATCTATTCTAATTTTGATTCTAAAAATAAATATTAAAGGTGAAAACATCACATCAATATCTTCATAATCAAAAAGTTAAGTTGATTTATGCAAGTCTAAATCTCATTCATCTTTTCTAGGGTGATTCAGGTGGTCCATTGGTTTCACGAGATACTGGAAAGTGTATCAAAACTCAACAAGGGATAACTTCTTTTGGACAGCAATGCGGAAACCCAGACTCGCCCGGGGTGTACACCAGGGTCTCGAATTACATATCATGGATAGAGGAAGTAGCGCTCGGAGACGAAGCCATACTTTAGTATAGAATAGAATAGAATAGATGAAATGACTTATAATTACTATTTTATGTATTGTCTTTATTTAGTTTTAGTAAATCTGATTCGAGTAGATGTTATTTTATGTCTTGTATTTTATATTCATGTTTTATATTTTTATAAGTGTACTATGTATTTTTAGTGAGTAATAAATAATATATCTTCTGTAAACCAAAAATTATATCTATTTCTTTTATTTATTTTTTTTTGTATTTTTAAAACGCCAAAATGAAGTTATTTTTGTTGTAAGTTAAAAAAATAAAAATTATTTATAAAAAAAAAACAACCGTATAACAAAGTACCTTCTTTTTATAAGGAATATACTATACAGTCACTACCACGTTGAAGTAAAAAATGTGAAATACTACCTGACAAAATAAGAGCTATATGAAGTTTGTGCTGCACTTCTTTACCGAAACAAAAACGACCCTTTTCCATCCAGAATGGTTACATGTGATGGAAAATGGATACTTTACTATAACAATAGACGTTTTGAACAGTGGCTCGACAAATTAGAAGCAGCAGAATATTTTCCAAAGTCCCCAACTTTGGGTTTCATTTGGTGTGATACACTACAGCTTCTTAAATTCTGGAGGAATCATCAATGACGAATCGTATTTTAACCATACTGATGCAATGCATTAGAAATAGGCAATAATGTCAATTGTCTTAGGTCAATCGAAAGGGACCCATTTTGTTGTATGACAACGCCCGACCACATAACAAGACGTGTGATGTCACAAAAACTGTTGGAGCTTGAATATGAATCTCTACCACATTCGGCGTAATCTTCGGACCCCTCGCCTACGATTATAATGTTTTTAAACACCTGGACCGCTACTTACGTGACAAAAAAAATAGGTAAAGGGAATAGAGAATGCATTTTTTTGGGGGGTATATCAATTCTAAAGGTGGGAAATCCTATTCAGAGGGAATGGAAAAGTTGCCAACACTTCGGCAGAAATGCATTGATACTTTATTTATTTATTCTCCATTCCTTACCTTTGGGCATAGCGGGTGTGGCAACTTTTGCGGGGTATGCAAATGTTGCTGATTAACATCTAGCGGTCATGTTAACATAGGCGTCATCGTTTCGTCCCAAGGCCTCCATCTTCTTCTTCTTTGCCTAGCGGTCGTCCAGCGAATGTTAATGGTCCTGGAATATTAAAATGACCAGGGCCAACTGCGGTTTTCCACCAGTAAATAAAAGTCTTGAAGAATGGTTAGTTCTTTTCGGTGACTGAAGGAAATCATTCTCAGAGAGGACGTAGAGCCCAGTTTCCCTCAGAAGTTTAGCCCTAAGAACCTCAAAGACGGTGCAGTCCATAATAATATGTTGAGCAGTCTGAACTGGGGCATAAGGGATCAATGTCCTTCCCAAAGCCATGCAACTTAGAACGGAAACCTCTGCTATGTTCCTGGCCTCGCGTTTCTACGGCGAGTAGGGGGTTCCAGGAACCGCATTTATTTGTATTTGATACTTATATTGGTATTTATATCGGTCCCAGAAGGGAACCGATCTACCGAAAAAAAATATTAATTCTGTAGTAAAAGGTTAGATACCACAGACCCCCTACTGTAGTATCCTAGATTGAACCATATAATTTTTACTGGATTTCTTTTCTAGAGGTATCGTGTTTATAAATTTACTATTTGTTCTATATCTAATTGGTAGCATGCAAGATAGAATGTAAACTTAACAAGATGGTTGATTATTTACTATATTTATCAACTTTAACAACCAAAAACATCTATATACAAAATAATAACTAAACCTGTATACATAATGAATAGTTGAGAATCATACTGGAGGAGAATGCTTGATGTTTGATTAAAGTTACACGTGTTCTATTGATTCTATTAATTAACGATTTATGGTTGCCAACACAAGTTTACATCTGTATAACTAAATGAGGGTTATTACCTAGCTGGTTCATCATCATCTTCGAGTCTCCTTCCATGTAGCTCTCTTCAGCCTCTGTCTTCTTCCCAGTGTTCAACCGTCCTAGCCTGAGTCCCAGCTATCAGTCCATATCTTGCTCTCTCCGTCTCTCCTGATCAAGTGTCCTAGCCTGAGTCCCAGCTCTCAGTCCATATCTTACTCTCTCCGCCTCTCCTGATCAAGTCCCTTCTCAAAACTCTAACCGTCCTAGCTTCCAGTCACCCCCCTCTCTTTTTGTACTTTTTCCTGATTGGCTGAATATTCCTAGCCTAAGGGATGACCACGCCCTCTCCCCCAGGCCAAGGTACTCCACTAACCAGGTATATTTTACGTATTTCTGGAAGGTGTTAATGCTCTTTGGATCCTGTTTAAACACCAGGCGTGAGACTGTTGTTGGTCTTGGTCGGTGGTTCTTAAGGGTTTTTTTTACCACTTACAAAAGGTTGTCCTCGTGGGTCGTTACCCTCGCTCAGGTACCGCCAGATGTGAGCACTTATGATATATATTTATTTATACATTTAAAATAAGTAAATGAATTCCACCGGCGGTCTTTACAATACATAGCGCCTCTATGCCCTGTGAGGCATTGCGAGACCCAATAGTCCGGAATACTCCATCTAGCTTCTAATCGTGAACAGACGGTGGAGATATGTATGGATAGTAAGTAGTGGAGACTATTTTGATTAGATTAAAGACTTAGATTAAATAAAATCGTTAGGGGTATGAAAAAAGTGTGTAATGTTTTTGAAACTCAACTGATGTGTTTCACACACAGGATGTAGTTTTCTTGATTTATTCAGTAAAAAAAAAAAAAAAAAAAGTCGAAATAATGTAGTAATAAAGAGAAATGCCAGGTAATTTGGTTTATGATATAACGATGTCATTCTACCTTTATTGGAAAGAAGGAATAATAAAGAACTTAATTACGGAAAGAAAAATAGAACAAATATTTACTGATGGTATATTTCAATCAGTGGAACAAATATTAAAATTAAAATATATATACATATATGAAACCTCGGATTGCTTCCTCGAATAAGGCACTATGAAGTTTTATCTTAATTAAAAATTAAAAAGTAAAAAAAAAAGAAGCAAACAATATAATGAAACTGAGTCAAAAGTAAAAGTTAAACGAGTTAGGGAGACTGTATTTTATCTTAATCTTCGGTGACCATATTTCTCCTACTTATTTATTTTTTTATTTTTGTTTTAACCTAATAAGAAATATCATCGTAAGAAATTAAGGGTTGGTGGAATGAATCCGTCCGTATTCCCCTCTCCAGCTGTTGTTTATTGGGTTTTCAATTAAATTGGGATCGAAAGACATGGCCCTCTCTCCTACACTTAGAATTTCTACTTGTCATAGCCATCTTTCTTTAGCATCTTATGGATCGCACGATTTCGTCCCGTCCTATTCACAAGAAATGAATAGATGTTAATTAATTTTAATTAACTTTTGGTGCCTTGGAGAAATTGAGCAAGTACGTTTTGCTTTGGACTAATTACTTTTCAACGAGTCTCCTCGCTATTGTGAGCTGTCCTTTGATTAACTAAAAATATTAAAGCAATTTATCCATAATTATTAATTACAAATTTGTTTAGATAACTTGATGCTAAATACTATATTAAAGTAAATAATGTGTGGGATCCTATAATATACGGATACAATAATTAAGAACATTTTGAATAAGTTCGGTTTTGATGGGACACGATCAGTAATAAATATTAAAAACTATTTAGAGATTATCCGGCTATATTTAGATGATTTATATATTTCATTTAATACACCTGGGGTACAAATTTGGAGGGATATTTATATGAAAAAGTAGGGAACAATTGTTTTCCAATTTTTTTTTCTATAACAATTTGAATCATGAACTGTACCGTATTCGAAAAAAAAAATACATTGAAAGCCTCCTAATTTGTTACAATAAAAAAAAACAAATTAATACAGAAATATAAATATCGTCAAAATGGATGTTTTTAGAAACAGGAAATAAATAAAAAAGTTGATAAACAAATCAAATATACGTATATATATATATTAAATTTTACCATCTTTTTCAATACACTTTTGCTAGCGACTTACCAACTTTTCTATCCTAAATTTGAAAAAAAGTTTAAGTTGAAATAAAGTCGAAAAACTCTAACTATCTCAGATTTTCCTCAAGCTGTTCGTTGATGCGTCGATTGTTATATTTGAATCACTTTTCGCTACAACTTATTTACTGGCCGAAATGAATGAAGCATTTCTATGACGCGTAATCAAAGAAACAAAAACCTTTTAACGTTATTAATGTTGACAATAATTCAGTTCGAGGCTAACAGAGGAAGATTTTTTTGCCTTTCTAAGCAATTTTAAACGTATCGAAACAGCCATCCGACTTATCCGAGAACAAAGGTCTCTGACTGTTTTGTGAGGGGTTTCTTCCATAGCTTCCATAAGGGCTTCATCCTCGATTGATGTTAGCAGGCTGTCCATAGAGCAGATTGTCTAAAGTATCTCACGAAGATAATTTAGAAAACCGACGACGATTGGTTCTTAGATTAGGAATTCTTTCTCCAAAAGTGTTACCAATATTCCGTGTTTTCTGGACAGTGGAATAACCAAGTTTGAATACATATATATGTATGTATTCAAGTTGTAACTAAAACTCCTTGCTGAACACAATTTCTTGAAGAAGACATACAAAGTTTGGTCGAAAAGTTGGCATGAAATAAAATAGTTTTCCACTATTTAAGTCTATTTATGACCGCCACTCCGGACTATCTTCTTCCTCTAAAATACAACGGTCAAATATTAAGTATTCAATACGACTCAACAACGAAGGAGCCAACAACGGCTAGAAACAAACTCAGCAACTCTTCACCGCAGTTCCAGACTCCAAGGTAGATTCGTTCCAGATTCGCAGCTCATGTTTTACCCCAACTTCATCACGATTCCGACTCTCCACAGATCGCTTCACTCATATAAATATATCGTTCGAAGATCGTGTGTTTCCATTGTCACATTTGAAATGAAACTAAAATCTGTATCTCGGGA